TATTTCATCGAGAGTTCCGATGGAACGTTAATTGTGTCCGTTGAACGTTCTCCATGAACGATGTTTGACAAATGTACGGAAAGGTGCGCTATTTCGGTGTTTCGCACAGGTGAAAATTGTCAACGTGAAAGAACACCGTCGAAGAAATATCACGTTTAATCTCGCTAATTGGAAGCTTGCAGAATTAATACAAGTACCAGACGACGGTACCGATACCTCGTAAAGGTGAAAGGTTAATCTATGGTCTCGCGCTGCTTAGACAGGATTCTGGCCTAACTCCTTTTGAATAGTAAAATTCGTATTATCCGGCGATTTCATTCAGTGCTTCCTTGAATAGACAGTGTGCTAATTAGCATACGCGCGAAGCTGCTTAGAAAGTTTAGTGAACGGGTCGATAGAAGGAGGATCGTATTATGTTGTAACACATGAACATCTGCTTTTATCCTTTTGAATAGATCTTTTTCTAATTTTCCGTACGTTCTATATCGGATATATTCCTCATTCTCGGGTTTGAAATGGCAGAAAATCGCACGATCGCGTATTTTCTATAATGCCGAGTAAGCATTAGGACGATAACGCGAACGATGGCATGCAAGGTAACAATAAAAAGGTCAAAGAGCGCGCTTCAGCTTGCCGGTCTCTAAGGAAAGCTCCTTAGCTCGTAGCCTGTATTCTTCTCTGGAGCTGTCATTGTTTAATGTCACGAGTAAAGTAACGAGAAAAATCGCGTGTCTCGCATTGGCTGCTGTTATAGACAACCTACAGTTAATAAATCTGTTTCTTTTTTTATTTATCAGAAATATACGATAGAATTTGATCAAATTTAACAAATAGCCCAATAAATGCAGTTTAAGCTTCTTAAAATAATCAACTCTTTGCCTTAGACGCTGGAATATTTTTAAATTCAAAAAAATTTTTGAAGTATCTGATACAATTTGACGAAGTTTAGTAAATAGCTCGATGAGAGAAACTTGAGCTTTTTAGAATAATGCATTGCCTTAGATACCTGCTTTTGCCTAGAATATCTTTAAATACCTCATCGTTGTGAACAATTTTAAGAAATAATTAACAGTAGAATTACCAAGGTTTCTGTTAGTTTAATTGTACGAAGTCTGCTCGATAAATGATAGTCGAAGCTTTACAGCAGGAAGCACTGGCAAGAACGAGAAGGTACATATATATATATGCGTATACATATATCGACAGGAATATACGATATTACAACCCTCGAATTCCACGGAGGAGGAAACGCGCGTTTCCTCATACGTTATGCAGAACTTGCGGGAGCTAGACGTAGCCTTGTAACGATATCGGCCAATCTGCTTTCACGACGTAGCGTTTCTCTATTAGCATTTAATTTCACGTGGAAATGCATTTCAGTTCTAAGATTTCCAAGGACCTCTTGTCATCGGACTAATATCGGCGTTCTACTTTTCTCCCCCTTTCTCGCTCGTGTTGCTTCTCGATCGTAGGAATATTGGATTATCTGAAGAGAGGGAATCTAAAGATTTCCACTTTCCATTTGTCATTCGAAACAATCACGATGTTTGTATTCATCGGTCGGAGAAGTGGTTAAGAATAACGACTGACGAGTGGAATAAATCGATCGTTGCTAGAATAATTGGATGATAATTTTAATTCTATTCCACTCTACATGTACATACGTTCAATTGCGATCGTAAATTTCTACCAAACTTACAATTTTATCAATCATTTTCCTTTTCTTAGCTAAATTCTGTTACACTCTATTTCTAATCCGAGCTTCGCCACGTTTCAATTTTCCATTTTGATCTTTTTTCACGATTCTCGCGTATTATCCGTCGGTCTGTAAGATTGAAACGGAGAATTCTGCGATGCAGTGAAAAATTCTCCCCCGTTCGGTCGTCGAGCAAGCGGAGAGACGAAAATCAGGTCTTAGAGTCCGCTCGAATGTAATCGGTTCGGTAATCGTACGGAATGGCGAGGTTCTCAGCGGGAAGAAGGAAAAGCGGCGAAGAGCGAAAAAGACAGAAAGGGGAGCTTGCAAGCTCACGAGGGGGCCCTGAGTCAGCTCGC